TCTATGGAGTAAACTATTGACTAATCATATTAGTAACCTATTTACTAGTCAATGATCCGATCTATTGAGTAGCTCTTGGACTGGTCTATTAACTAGTCAATTGAGTAATCTATTAGCTAGTCTATATAATATCTGTGGACTTTACTATTGACTAGTATATGGATTAGTCTATTGAATAGTTTATGAACTAGTCTCTTAACTAGCCTATAGATTAGTCTTTTGACTATTCTATGATCTAAGCTATTGACAAGTCTATTGGCAAGTCTATCTACTATTCTATGGAATAATCTATTCACAAATTAGTAGTCTATTTACTAGTCAATGGTCCAGTCTATAGACAAGCTTATAGACTAATCTATTATCTAGTCAGTTGAGTAGTCTATTAGCTAGTTTTTAGAAAATCTCTGGACTGATCTGTTGACTTTCTATTGTATATCTGTGGACTAGACTATTGACTAGTCTATGGATTAGTCTATTGAATAGTCTATGAAGTAAACTATTGACTAGTCTATGATCTATTAAAATCGCAATTATTGACAATATATGAACCCAAAAAAGTCACAATATTAACTTTAGTTTATTTACACTAGTCTCATAGCAATTCTCACTACAAACCCTTCCAACTGCTCCCTAAAACCTCCAGCATGTCGTCTGCAACATTAGCAAAACCCCATTTAAAAAAAAGCAAAATATATAGTCACAAATAAATATATAACAAATTTTAAGTTTTATTTAAAAAAAACCTATAATTTTTCATCACTCTTCAAATCATTTGCATTTTCATAAATAACAATTTAACCCCAAAAAAAGTAAAAACTTTAAAAGCAAAAAAAATATATTCCAAATTTAAACAAAAAAAAACACCACTACAAATTATTATGTTACAAATACAAATTATTTTATTTTTATTTTTTATCAACCAAATATAAAAAAAATCAAATCAAAAATATCAAATACCACCCGAAACAAAAAAAAAATCAAATCAAATTCACAATTCAGGCTGTTAACACAAATACACGTAATCGAAGTCTTGGCCGTTTAAGAAGGCAGCCGCCCCGTCATGGTATTGGTAAGTCCTGTTTTACAACTCTTTTTTCATTTGTTATTTTCTTCAAAAAATTTCAATAATTCTACTCACTTACCACTTTTTTTATTTGAAATTTTCAAAATATTCAAAATTTTTTTTTACTTGAAAAATTTCCCTTTTTAAAATATGAGTGTGTTTTTGGTTGTTTCTGTTTTTTAAGTTTTTAAAATTTTGGTAGAATTTTTTTAAGAAAATTTAACAATTTCCTATTATATTTTAAACCACTGTGTGCACTGTGTAATTTTATTTTCGAAATTATAATTTATTCTAATAAATGTTGATGTTTCTTTTTTTGGAAAATAAGCATGTTGCAACATGCATGTTTTATATGTGTATAAATGGCATATTTTACATAAATAAATTTTAAAATTTGATAAAATTTTTATACAAAATTTCGTATATCTATATTTAAAATGTTGCAACATGCAAAAAAGAATAAAATCTTTAAAGTACTTGACTAATTAAGTATCTGAATTATCACGTTACTTCATCATCTCACAGCCCAAGCGGCTGAACCTTAAATATTTAGAAGTAGAAAGAGGGAAAACAACTAAAATATGTTTTCTTAATTATCTCTTACATCAGACATGGAAAACTAAAATCGTAAATAGTACTTACCTTGACCAAAAAGTACTTTTTGGGTTTAAAAGTACTAAATTATTTGTCGGCTTTTTATCTATTCTCTAGTCAGAGGACATATATTTACAATATTGATTATGGATTGGTATTTTCACTAGTCCATTGTCTATAGAATAATCTATCGACTATCCTGTTGACTATTGGCAAGTATATATACCGACTCGCCTATGACCTAGACTATTGACAAGTCTATTGTAGTCTGTTGATTGTAGTATCGGAAATAGGTCTTTAAATAGTGAAATGAATTAGTATTTTGACTAAAAACATTTCGGTTGGTTACAATTGGTTCTCTCTTGGTCCATTCTCTAGTCTATGGACGTACTATGGGCGTAATACATTGACAAGTCTATTGAATAGTCCTATAACTCGTATATTTACTAGATTGATTATGAATTGATATTTTCACTAGTCCATTGTCTATCGAATAACCAGGGCCCCCGTGCATGATGATAGAACGCATCTTGGTGTATTGCAATCTAGAGGGAGGGTGGTGCTATCAGTACCTCTAGTCTGCCTGGACTATAAACATGTGATGTCACTTCACTCCTCGGCTAGTCCTTGGTATGATTTGACATGAGGTCTAACCAGAAAACCATATAATCTGGTACTACGGGTGGCCAGTTGCCCACAGGACTTGTTCTGGCTGGTCAGTTGGTTGAGGTTCCTTCGGGATCCACGTAGTGGCTGTGGTTTAAACCCAAATTCGCGGGAAGAGATTGTTGGTTTAAGGGCTGATATGCCCTATATATAATGCATTGACTCTATTCAAATGACACAGGTTTGTGTACAAAGCAGCATATGCTGGATTTCTGAACCCGATCGGTATTTCTTGTAGTAGGGAGCCGGTATATGCTAGGGAATTGTCAAGTTAGCGTTCAGTAGTTGTCTGTCATTCCGTAGAAAGATCCTTATGATCATGGGAATGGAACTGATGCAAAAATTGGTGAAAGATTGGGAAAATCTCCATATATTGGAGACTAGTACTGATTTAGTATGCATTTTTACGCTTCGAGGAAGTTTCTCGGTGCTGTTGCCATCTCAACAGGATATATTGATTCTTGCTACGCGACTATTTGTCGGTGCAATTATTGGGTTCAGTTTACTTTGGAAATTCCTACATCCTTTGTTATAGATCGGTTCATGAAGACGGATCCTGATCTATTATCTTGGGTATTTCGGGCTACCAAATACGTCTCTAGGTGCTGTTGCCAAACCAACAGAAGCCATCGCAGTAGTGTGGTTGGGCGACTTTAAGAGGTCCAGGAATGCACTGGGGGGGAATCTTTAGATGATGAGAATGTTTGTAGGGACAGAGCATTCCTCATAACATCAATAGGGTGTTTTCACCTGATGTTGGGTACGCCCTTCTATTGGCTCTAACCAGTGATTGCCTTTTCCTTTGTCGGGCTTAGATTGAGCTGGCTCATGACACCTGTACTTCCCTAACGGGGCTACTATGGCAAAAGGTTAGATAGCTCGAGTACTTCAGCAAAGTGCAGCCATGTACGAAAATTGCCACCTGGCCCTCTCTTGGGTCCATTTATGTTTGATGTCATTGTGATACCCAGGGGGACATAGTAAAGTTGTTTACTACTCGTCGCTTCCATAACGAAACCAATCAGATTGAAGTTTAGGATATACCTTAGGCTTACACCAAATAGTTTATGAATGTCTGAAAAGTTAAGGCCGAACCGTAGCAGAGTACTTGAGATATCGTCACTTCTAGCTCTTCATTATTATAATTTCTACAATAATCGTTGAATGTGAGACTCAATCTTTGTTTGTCCTAGAGTAAGCATATAGCGGCCAGATGTACCTAAAGATATGACAAGTGATCTCATTAGATCATCTGAGTTGATCCTTGTTTATTTTAAACAAGCGTCTTATTCGTTCTCTGCTTAACCCAAATGTCGAGATGACACCTGCACTATCCTTTACACCAGCTTTGCTATCGGTATATATGCATATATGACCACATATTCGATAATTCTTAAGACAGTTTGCTGGTCGCTCGATTACAGATATTTCCCCCCGAATAACACTATAATAATTTAAATATTTAAAAGAGAACCAAATCTATCAATAAAATGCCTTCACCGATTCTTCCACTTCATTTGAAGCTATAGGTGGAAACACTCGTTTTACCTGCATGGCCGTGGTGTTCCTACGAAGAGTCTTTTTAGGGATCAAAGTGGAAAAGAGTATCTTTTTTTGTCGAATATATTGACAGTAGAAGGCTTTAATGGGCCCAATTTATGGACAGGCTTTTGACAAATAGACTTATTAAATCATCTTGAGCAATACCACTGATTAGTGAACGGAGAGTCAAGATCTACGGCAAATCAGACCCGTAAAAACTATAGCCAATGACTTCCAATTATGGAATACTATCTTGGTAGAGAACTTTACTTGTACTTTTATTTAAGAAGCGTAAAATGTCGCTACCAGAGAATTCTGACTTTCTGACTACTTTCTGACAGTGAAAAGTATCTCGAATTTGTTCTAAAATGTCACAGAATCTGAGCACTAGAGTTATACGTTCAAAACCTACCTATACTAATGTATTAAGTACTGGTATTGTGAGGAGCAGTTCACCTATTACAAATCTATAGAAAAGATTTCGGAACTCCTTGGATCCCTTTATTATTTTCTTGGCAAACTTATCGATCTTATGGCTAAACAATAGACCCTCAGCTTAACTATCAGCTGCTTGCTTAAAAAAAAATTGTTTCATTGTTTATGGTTCTATTTTCGTAAACACTCTCCCTCTCTCTCTCGAAAAACTATTCATGAGAACCAGGGCCAAATTCAAGCATTCAAAAGTGGTCGAAATTCTTAATATTTCTTAAGATTTCGATCGAATGCCTGACTTTGTCCCGATAAACTAGACTAATGCGACCAAGAAGTAACAAATTTGGTGAAATCTATTGTTGACAAAATAGGGTCTTAAGAGGAAGGTCTAGTGGTATACAATTTGTCCAAAATATTCTCTATTGACTTCTGCACTTTCTTCTTTTTAAACGCTGCTATATAATTCTTGTATTGGAATAAAATTACAATTCGGAATCACTAGAATTAATTATTTTTGAATCTTTATTATTTACACTAACTCTTAGTTAACTACTAAACTCTCTAATCTAAACTAACTAAACTATACTTAAGCTAACTAACAACTTGTCTAATTAGTGTAATCTTAAAACAAAAAAAGACTAACCTTAAAAACAAACTTAATTAACATAAAATACAAACAAATACTTTTCACTATATATTACAGTAACTCAACACCGTTCCAATAGTCCACAACACTCTAGTTCGGCCTCATCGCCTGTTATGTCAAATAGTAGTTCTAGTCCAGCACCACCATCCAGCAGTCCAAGTCCGCAAGAGAGCCCCAAGAATTGTAGTTATATATATCGTGATTGATTGATCACAAATACCAAATCGATGCCATTAATCAAAAATCAAACAACAACATCAGCAGCAGCAACAACAACAACAGCAACTTTAATAGATGAAATCGATAAAACAACAACAACAACAGCAACAACACAATCAACGCATAAGCCGAAACAGAAAGCAAACACTGCCAATAATAAAATAACAACAACAAATGGAACTGCTAAAACTACTATTTCTAATATTACAACAACTAAAAACCATAGACAACAACATAAACAAAAGCCGTTACATGACATAACCACAACTTTGACAACAGCAGCAACAACAGCAACAAAAAGAAAAAAACATTTTAGCAACAACAAACATAGAAAACATAAAACCTCGTTGGCTAAATCCGTTCCTGCCACACCTGTACAAGTAAATCCCTTAACAACGAATCATTTTGTGCCATCCTCACCAGATTTTTACGATGATCATGATATTGATGATAATGATGATGATGACGATGATGTGCTCTACATGCCACCCTATTCATATCCCAATTGTTCTTTAGATATTTTAAATGCAGACTATAACTTTGAAAATGAATTCGATTTTAATGCCACCCAGCAACAGCAGCAGCAACAGCCTGAGCAAGAGGAAGTTGAGGAAGAGGAGGAACATTTCCGAGAAGCTTTAGCCGATAATCATCCTTTAGAATTGCAACGTGATATTGAAGAGGACTCCTCTTCTATGGCCATGATAACACCGCCACCACCCTATGACACACCCTACAGTAAACAACAGCAGCAGCAGCAACTGTTGTCACAACCCTACACCATGTACTCGTCCTCTCAACGCTATCCCCAACATCAAGCTGCCTATACCGCACCCAAAGCACAACGTTCCCATTACACCCCACACACCCGTAAATATATTTTCAACAACAATCGCGAACAATTCAATATCAGCTCCTCCAATGGCAATTCTAGTTCTAATTCCATACAACAACAGCCTCAATCCTCATCACTAGGCAGTACACTCACCAATGCCATTACGCCCACAAAATTGAGTGCCGCCGCGGCTGCCATGTTTGCGGCCCCACAAATGGTTCAACTAAATCGCAAATGGTCGAATTTGCATCGTAAACGTCGACGACGTAACAGTAGTTCGGGTGATTCGAAGGAATTAGATAAACTAGTCTTGCAGTCTGTCGATTGGGATGAAAATGATATTTATTGACAACATCTGGGTATAAGTGTGAGATATACATCGTTATTCTAAAGAAAAATTTTAACTTTTAAGATATTAATTTAGTAAAGTTTTACTAAAAAATGGAGATATACATAGATAAATATTACCATATATAGTGGCGAAAGAGTTTAAGAAGTAATATTAAAAGTTTAAGCGGGAATTGCTTTCGATTTGGTTTCTGAAATTTTATACAAATATACTCAAAATAGTTTTAAAGGTTTGAAAAGCATTGCGCGGTATTTTAAAATTTTATTAATTTCTTTTAAACAAATGTTTTCAAAATAATACTACGTGATCTTTGCTGGATTCAGATTCTTGTTCTGTTCTAGTTCTGTTCTAGTTCTGTTCTAGTTCTGTTCCAGTTCTGTTGTAATTCTGTTCAAGTTCTATTGTAGTTCTGTTCTAGTTCAGTTCTAGTTCTGTTCTAGTTCAGTTCTAGTTCAGTTCTAGTTCAGTTCTAGTTCAGTTCTAGTTCAGTTCTAGTTCAGTTCTAGTTCAGTTCTAGTTCAGTTCTAGTTCAGTTCTAGTTCAGTTCTAGTTCAGTTCTAGTTCAGTTCTAGTTCAGTTCTAGTTCAGTTCTAGTTCAGTTCTAGTTCAGTTCTAGTTCAGTTCTAGTTCAGTTCTAGTTCAGTTCTAGTTCAGTTCTAGTTCAGTTCTAGTTCAGTTCTAGTTCAGTTCTAGTTCTAGTTCAGTTCTAGTTCAGTTCTAGTTCAGTTCTAGTTCTAGTTCAGTTCTAGTTCAGTTCTAGTTCAGTTCTAGTTCAGTTCTAGTTCAGTTCTAGTTCAGTTCTAGTTCTAGTTCAGTTATAGTTCAGTTCTAGTTCAGTTCTAGTTCAGTTCTAGTTCAGTTCTAGTTCAGTTCTAGTTCAGTTCTAGTTCAGTTCTAGTTCAGTTCTAGTTCTGTTATAATTCCGTTATAGTTCCGTTCTAGTTCTGTCCTAGTTCTGTTCTATTTCTGTTCCAGTTCTGCTCTAGTTCTGTTCAAGTTCTTCTCTAGTTCTGTTCTAGTTCAGTTATAGTTCTGTTCTAGTTCTGTTCTAGTTCTGTTCTAGTTCTGTTCTAGTTCTGTTCTAGTTCTGTTCTAGTTCTGTTCTAGTTCTGTTCTAGTTCTGTTCTAGTTCTGTTCTAGTTCTGTTCTAGTTCTGTTCTAGTTCTGTTCTAGTTCTGTTCTAGTTCTGTTGTAGTTCTGTTCTAGTTCTGTTCTAGTTCTGTTCTAGTTCTGTTCCAGTTCTGTTGTAGTTCTGTTCAAGTTCTATTGTAGTTCTGTTCTGGTTCTGTTCTAGTTCAGTTCCATTTCATTTACAAGTTATTTTGGTTGAAATGGAAAATAACTTTTGGAAGAGTATTTCTTTGAAAACATTGTCATATTTGACCTTAAAAAATATTTAATATTTATTTTTAAATTTAATTTACACTATTAGTGTATTACTATTTCTTAGTAAATCCAACAATGCTTTTCAAATTTTTGCTTTTTAATAGGAATTTTTTTAATTAATTGTTTTTAGAAATTTTAAATCAAATTTTGTATAAGCAGCTTATAACTCAATCATAAACGAAAAATAACTAAAAAAATAGCCAACAATAAAAAAAAACCAACAAATTCTCTCGCTCACCCAGGCCAATAAACCAAAAAAAAAACGTAATATTTATATAGAAAAAAGAAATAAAAATATAATTAAAATTTAAGCATAAATAACGTTAGGGATTTACAATTGTAAATACAAAACAATATTATTATACAACAACAATAACAAAATCTACTTACTACAATATAAATAAATTGTAAAACACACTTTTTTTAGAAATTATAATAAAATAAAGGCGATAAAGAACATTGAATAAAAAAGCAAACAAAAAGAAATTTGTTATTAAAACCAATAAACTTTAAAAGAAATAAAGCAAAGCATACAAAAAAGCACAGCATGTTTGGACATGGCTGGCTAAGGGAGTATTAAACATAGAAATACTTTACTAAAAATGTCTTGAAATTTAGAATTTCTTTAACAAAAATAAAAAAAAAATAAGAATACAAAATAAAAACAAACGCATTTTTAGTAATAATTTATTTTATGCAATTATTATTATTATTATATACAGTTTAGAAAATATTTAAAAAATCAACAACAAATTTAGATAAACTTACACTCAACAACCCTCCCCCCCAAGAAAAAGAGGAAATTTTAAAAACAATATTCTAAGGAATATTATTAATAAAATAATAAAAAGACAAGCAAATAAAAAGTATTTAAACTTTAAAAATCAATAACAAGACAAACAAACAAATATTAATTATTTATATGCTTAAACAATTAATTTAAACAAAATTAAGAAACTTTGTAAAAATGATATATTGCTAAGCAAATTTAATATAAAAAGAAAGTTATTAAAATATTAACACAAAAAAAAAAACAAAACAAAAAAAAATATTATTTAAGCCTAAATTATAACTAATATTAATTATTATATAATATTTAAAACAAACAAAAAAAAAACAAATTGTTAATGCTAAATTATAAAAACAAAAACAAAACTTTGTAATTAAAAACAAAAACTTGTATATTTTACTTTATATATATATATATATATATATATAAACTATTTATACATTTATAATATAATAATAATAATATTTAAACAAATTCCCTTTAAACAAAAAAACCAACTCATATTTAATAAGAAAGGTAGTCAAAAAGTCATATAAATTATAAAATAGTAGCAGTAGTTTTAGCCGCGTTTTTTTACAAACCAAAACAACAAAAAAAAAACATAAAATTTATATAAAAATTAAAAAAAAAATAATTAACAAAAAAAACTTAAAAAAAAACATCCAACCACATTTAACTTTTTTTTGAAAAATTAGTAATGTTATTTATTATGATTAACAAACATTTATCAATATTATTATTAAACATTTATAAATATCAAAAAAAAAACAACATAACTTAGTTAAACAATTTTTTTCCCACAAACACATAATAAATTGTAGTGTTACTAGCAAAACTGTAATAAGGGGATTAGTTTGGTTAAAACTAATTAAAGTCTAATTGCGATACGTCTGTATATAGTCTAGGTTTAAGTTTGCTTTATAGTTTAGACTAAAGTATGCACTAAAATTTAGAATACAATCTGTTCCATAATATTGACTAGAGTGTAGAATACAAACTGAACTATAGTCTACACTGTAGTCAATATAATATAAATAGTATTCTGGCCTATAGTCTAATTTATAATTAAGGCTGTCGTCTAAAGTCTGACCATGACCATACTCTAGACTGGATTATAGTTTAGACTAAACTCTATACAATAGTCTAAACCAAACTCTGGTCAATAGTCTACACCAAGACTTAGTATATAATTAAGTCTGGACACCAGTCTAGACAATAGTCTGCACAGTAGACTAACCTTAAATCTAGACTTAAATCCAGACTATTTTAGTCTTTAGTCGCGTACAGTCTATTCTATTATAGTCTAGTGCAGTTCTGGTTCAATTCAAGATTAATTCTAGTTCTGTTTCAGTTCAGTTCTTGTTCAGTTCTAGTTCAGTTCTAGTTCTAGTTCAGTTCTAGTTCAGTTCTAGTTCAGCTCTAGTTCAGTTCTAGTTCAGTTCTAGTTCAGCTCTAGTTCAGTTCTAGTTCAGTTCTAGTTCAGTTCTAGTTCAGTTCTAGTTTAGTTCTAGTTCAGTTCTAGTTCAGTTCTAGTTCAGTTCTAGTTCAGTTTTAGTTCAGTTCTAGTTCAGTTCTAGTTCAGTTCTAGTACAGTTCTAGTTCAGTTTTAGTTCAGTTTTAGTTCAGTTCTAGT